GTAGAGAAATCAGATTGCATGAAGATCATTGCTCTCTCCTTTGAATATGCGCTGTCAATGCTCTTCAATGTCAAGAACTTGGAACAATTACATGTAGCTTAACCAAAAGATTTTCAAGAATGTTCAAAAAGAAAAATACCACTACTGAGAAAAACTCAAACTAAAAATCTGAAAACTCCTAAGTCTAATTCCTTTACTTAACTGAAAATAACCACAGATCCAAAGATTCATTGTTGTCTATCCATGCCTGTCCTCCTCCAATGGTCCAACTCTTTTTTTCTTTACTTCTGTTCTGCCTGAGGCAGATATGTCCGACCGAAGGTCGGGTGTTTGATGTTGGATCTAGGGCTTTCTCTCCAGATACCTATGAACTAGGTATCTTGGGGACAGCTGATCACTACACACTATACGATGGCTTTAGCCAGAAGGGGTGTGTGTGTATGCACTGTCGTGTCTTAATGAAATAGGGTTAGAGAGATCTGCTATACCTGTGGTCCTTAGTCCCTATTTATAGAGATTACCTCTGGGCTGATTTGGGTTGGGCTTCTCGCTATCGTGGGCCTTCCTATGGTCCATAACAGTTGCCCCCCAGCCCGGTAGACTGAGTCTTCAGGTTGTCGGGATGCCCAAGTCGAGCTGATTGTTATGCTTTTACTCGGACATCGGTCACATGGCTGCTTTATTACTTCGGCCTCCTTACTTGGCCTCGAGAGGGGAAGCTTTCCCTGGTTTCATCCGGGTTTACTTGCCAGGTTTATATCGTGGCCTCTTTGGACTAGGAACTCGGTTATTTACTTCAGCTGTGCCAAAAATGATTGCACTTAGCTGCCATCTAACGATTGCTTTGAAGTGAGAAACAGTTTCCCTTCCTTCTAATGATTACCTTTCCACGTGCTTCCCTCCAACAGGCACAACGTGTGGCATCGTGCATTTTTTGCCGCCGTGGCATTTAATGCTCCTGTCGAAACGTCCCTCAACTGTCTTGTCCACCGTGCAATTATCGCAATGCCTCTGCCCTTTGGCTTCCGCCGGTTTAACTTTTCGATTTCACGTTTGCTCATATTACCACCCTCAATCCTCATTTCATACCATTTGTCTCGAATCGTTTGGCAGTATCCAGAGCATTTTTCTTTCGCCATTCACCAGAGCATTCTCCCTCAACGTTTTCTAGCTCTCGCGCTCGTCCATCGCCAGCTTCTTCGACACCCTTCCCCGCAAGTATTTTCTTTCACCTTGGCTTTCCCTTCTGGCATACTCTTCATTAACTTTCGATTTCGCCTACGGCTACTGGATTTGCAATGCCTTTCCTTATTTCAGACTTATTTACCTGCTTGTTCCTATGCATGTGCTTATCTGTATGTGTGATGCATTATATTGCTCTTGCATGATTACATCTTTTGTTCTAGTCTTGCACTGTCTATACAAGCTTATCTGTTGTTTGTTCATTTCCTACACACCCTGCTTTGACTAGTTTCTGATATGGGTGAGAGAAATTATACCATTCAAGGAAGACCCTATAGCCCCCGCATCTTCGGTCGTGGTGATGAAATTGATGTCGAAGAGGAAGGACGAGTTGTGGAGGAAGAGGAAAGGTTCATTCAGAGCCTACCGCCTGGTTCGAGGTACTGGTTGTATGGCAGACCTCGAACTGAGGAGGAAACGCTGGCTGCTTTGATAGGCGGCTATCGAGATGGTGGCCATAGGGGAGCCTCTTTATCTTTCTCTTCAGTCCGTGGTCGTAGGGGGGTCTTCGAGGTAGGAGCGTTTTTTCTAGTCCTTCAACCCGGGGTCGAAATGTTGGTCCCCGTAACTTAGGCAACCCATCCAGGGAAGCTCCCTCTCTTTCTTTAGGTTCTACCTCGGTTCACTCTATTACACCCATTCCTTTTCCGAATCAGAGAGTAAGAGTCTCATCTCGTCCTAGTACTACCAACCCTGAGCCCTGCTTCAATTGCGTATACCTTAGTGCTCAGTTTATGGAGAGCGGTAATGACTTCATGGCCAATGTAGTTTTGGGTAGTTGTCCACACACTCCGGGTTCAGCAACCTCTGCTCCTGTTTTTGCATCTGACGATTCTAGTTCCTCTGACAGTAGTGTGTTTAATTCGTGTACGTATCCCCTTTGCTACGTGCTATTCTTGCTTTTTAATCCTCCATTTTACTATTTTAGGTATTTATGGAGTCCCATTCTACAGAATCGAATGCGAATATCGCTTCTTCTAGCCAAGGTCCAGATGCCGGGGTGAGTACGGCCGAGAAGGGCTCTGCTCCAGTGACTGATAACCTTCGTACCCAATATCCATGGGTTACGGAGGAGGTGCTGAGCTTTGCATCCGAAATGTCAACCGAAGAGGTGTCCGGGCTTCCCATTGGCAACCCGGTTGATTTCAACACCTTCGTTCCTGCCGATGACGAACCTGTTTGCTCAGGCCAGAGCCCTGAAGAGCCACATTCCTTTTTCTTCTACCGGGATCTGGTGACGAAGATTGGGATTCGGTTTCCTTTTTCCCCATTCCAGATACATCTCCTAAACCACCTGCTACTCGCACCCACCCAGATCCATCCCAACAGCTGGGCTTATGTTGTTGCCTTTGAACAGCTCTGCGACTCATTGTCCTTTCCATGTACTGTTCCTTTGTTTTTGCATTTTTTTACTATTTATACCTCATGTACCGGCTCCGAACTTCCTGAACTTAAAGGGTGGAGCAGCATTCGAGGCCGAGTTAGCAAACCTTCACGAAAGCTGTTCTCTGTGTACAATGATTCCTTTAAAGGCTTCAAAGCCTACTTTTTTAAAGTGGTGGCCGAGGTGGGAAAAAGTCCATGGTTCATTGGTGATGATGGGGAACCGAAGTTTCTCCTGTATTGGACTCAAGATCATCACCAACACAGGCCAGCTGACTTCAAACTGAGATTATCAACAGAGGATAAAGCTAATGCCGAGACCCTGCTGGCCCATGTGGGTTCCAAGGGCCATCTGAGCGCAGCTTCTCTAGTAGCCATATCACATTCTACCCCAGAGCCCACCCCAGAGTCCACCAGTATGCTTTGTGCTATTTAAATCTTTGCTGCTCGTGCTATTTTCATGTTACTGTTATAACTTGTTTTTGTTTGCAGATTCTGACATGAATTTTGACGAAGAAGATGAAGGGCCTGGTCCGGAATATATTTTTGCGATAACAGGGCAAACTTCTGCTCCGTCTCCCCCCCAGCTAAAAGGCCAAAGACTGTCAGCCCGGCTGCGGCCGCTTTCACCTTGGGTGTGAATTCTGGGGTCCCCATCCTGGATCTTTCCGACGACGAGGAGAGTATGGAGGGTGATAAAATTCCAGACCCTCCAGTCTCGGCTAGTGGGGGCGGAACGCACACCGTCATTACTCTTCCTCGGGGCACCTCTGCTCCCGCCGCTCTCCCAGCCGGACTGAGGAGGGGAGAGTTATGGGACTCAGGGGTAACAGCCGAGTTAAAGGGTGTCGTGCGTCCTCCTCCCGCATTCTCCGGTTCTGGGATCATTTCAAGAGCTGAGATGGAAGAGCTCTAGAAGGCCGAGTTGTACACCTTCAAGGCTGCTTCCATGGTAAAACCATATTGCTTGCTGCTGGAAAAGCATTCCGAGACTATCGCCAATCTAGACGAGCTCCGAGTGAGGCATGGTAAAGCTGTTCTTGTCGTTGAAGAACTAACAAACAATTCTGCTGAATTAAAGGCTTCTTTGGAGAACTCCCAGTTAGACCTAAAGTCTATTGCTGACGCTGTTTGTGTTACCCCTGGTATGGATAACATTGTGAAGCAATTCAAAGACCAATCCGAAGCGCTGGCGGAGAGCGGTGTGAAGGTTGCTGAGCTGACTACGGAGATTAATAAGCTGAAGCTGGACCTCCAAAACTTGCAACAAACTTATGATTTTAACCAGTCTTCTCTACAGAAAGCCGCTGTCAGTGCCTTCAAAAATAAGGTCAACCAGGTAAGGTATTTTAATCCGGAATTTCCTCTGAGACTCGACCAGCTTGACTGCTTTGGCTACATTCGTGGCGGGGTTTATTTCCCACCTCCATCCATTCCAAGCCTGCCAGAAAGCAGTACTGTGCATGGTGAGATGACGCCAAGGATTGAGGAAACTGGAGTCAATGCCGCTATGGAGGCAGCTGGTGTCGAGTTTGAGGCTGAAGTGAGGGGGATCATACAAAATGACGTCGCGGAATGAAGAGCCGGAATGCCGATTTAACTTTGTAATTTTCCTGTTCTTTTTTTTATTATCTTTTTTTTTTATTTTTCGACTATTTTGAGAACCCCGCGTGTCCAAAAGCATGCTTAACTGTTATGGCAAATTTGACTCCATATCTTTGTTAATATGGCGATTGATGTACATCGATATCTGTTGTTTAACCGACCTTCTTTTTGTAAGGATGTTAGGGAAATAAGGGCGTCCCCTTAAACTCGCTCCTTAACTTAGTAGGCCGGGCTAGAACTCCAACTTTGCCCGTAGGCAAGAGGGTTCAAATACCTCAGATTATTGGCCGGGTTAGAACTCCAACCTTGCTCGTAGGAAAGAGGGTTCAAATACCTCGACGTTATTGGCCGGGCTAGAACTTCAATCTTGCCCGTAGGCAAGAGCGTTTAAATACCTCGACGTTGTTGGCCGGGCTAGAACTCCAATCTTGCCCTTAGGCAAGAGGGTTCAAATACCTCGACGTTTTTGGCCGGGCTAGAACTCCAATCTTGCCCGTAGGCAACAGGGTTCAGATACCTCGACGTTTTTGGCCAGGCTAGAACTCCAATCTTTCCTGTAGGCAAGAGGGTTCAAATACCTCGACGTTATTAGCAGGGCTGGAACTCCAATCTTGCCCGTAGGCAAGAGGGTTCAAATACCTCGACGTTATTCTTGGAAATGAACATTTGGAAACTACTTTTGAATACCTCATATTGTTGCATTTATTGAACTCGAAATCGAAAGACTATTTCGGATAGGACATATTTCGCCCTGTCCGAGTTTAGACACTTTAGCAGGGGGAATAGATTCCTTTCCTATACAATTGCCCTTCAACCATTGTGTATAATGCAGCATCCTTGACCAGCTTCCGAGCTTCTTCCTTTGGGGTAGGGAGCGTCCCATTTTCTATGTAACCGATGATGGCACTACGCCAATCTTTGCCCACAGTTATCTGCATGAGACATGTAGGTTCTGTGATGTTCTGCTCAACAACCGTTCTACGGTTTCCGTAACCCTTAGTGCTTACTAGTTTTGACAGTATGTTAGCCCTGCTATTTTCATTCCTTGGGATATGACTGACCTCTACCTGTTCGAATTCTGCCATTAGCTGTCTCGCGGAATCCATGTACTTTGCTAGCAATGGTCCCTTAGCTTGATAGCTGCCTACAATCTGGGAGGTGACCAGTTGCAAATCGCTATAAATTTGCAATTTTCTTGCTCCGAGCTCCTTGGCCTGCTGAAGCCCGGCTATGAATACTTCATATTCTGCCTGATTGTTTGATGTTTCGAAGCTCATCTGCATGGAGTATTCAATCGAGACTTCTTCCGGGTTCTCAATAATCACCCCGGCTCCACTTCCTTTGGAGTTTGAGGACCCATCCACATAAATTTTCCATGTGTTTGGGTTTGTTGAGCTCTCCTTTTGGATTGAAGTGAGCTCTCTGACAAAATCCGCCAACGCTTGAGATTTGATCGCTTTTAGGCTCTCAAAAGATATGTCAAATTCTGATAGTTCCACAGCCCAAGCCATCATTCTTCCTACTATATCGGGCTTATGTAAGATCTGCTGAATTGGTAAGTCTGACCTGACTACAACCCGGCGTCCTTGAAAATATGCTCTCAGCCTCCTAGCCGAGATTAATAAGGCGAAAGCTACCTTTTCTAGCTTCTGATAACGGAGCTCTACTCTCTGCAAGAGCCAACTTACAAAGTAAATTTGTTGATGTCCCTCCTCATCTTCTTGGACCAAGACCGAGCTAACAACAATGTCTCCCACATAAAGATACATTATCAACGGCTCTCCTTCTCTTGGACTGGATAAGACTGGCGGTGATGCCAGCTGCTTTTTAATTTCTTGGAATGCTGCCTCACATTCTGAAGTCCAGCCATATTGTACCTCTTTTCGTAATAACTTGAAGAAAGGTAGTGTCGTTTCTGCAGATCGAGATAAAAATCTAGTGAGGGAGGCTAGCCTTCCCATCAACTGTTGGATCTCCTTCTTGCTTCCCGGGGCCTTCATTTCCAGCACGGCTCTACACTTGTCCGGGTTAGCTTCTATACCTCAGTGCGTCAGCATGAATACTAGGAATTTCCCTGCAAGGACTCCGAAAGCACATTTAGACGGGTTTAACCGAATTTTGTGCTGCCGCAGTTTATTAAAGGTCTGCTCCAGGCCTTCAACATGAATTGCAGAATTGACCGATTTGACTATCATGTCGTCTATATACACCTCCACATTCTTGCCAAGTTGATCTGCGAATACCTGATTCATCATTCTTTGATAAGTGGCCCCCGAGTTCTTCAAACCGAAGGGCATCATACTGTAACAATAATTTGCCTTCTCCGCTATGAAAGCAGTCTTCTCCTGATCTTCGGGGTGTAAGGGGATTTGATTATATCCCGAATATGCATCCATGAAGGATAGCATCTGGAACCCGGATGAGTTATCCACAAGCTGGTCTATATTGGGCATGGGGTATGCATCTTTGGGACATACTTTATTCAGGTCAGTGTAGTCTGTACACACCCTCCATTTCCCATTCGGCTTTTTTACCATGACCACATTCGATAGCCAGGTTGTGTATTGTATTTCTCTGATGAATCTGGCTTCCAGCAACTCCCTTACGTGATCTTCTAGTACCTGCCGGCGTTTCGCGCTGAGTTTCCTTTTCTTCTGCGCTACTGGCTTAGACCTCGGATATACTGCGAGCTTGTGACAACAAAAATGAGGGTCCATGATAGTCCTCAAGAGTTGAGGCCCATTAAGTGTAAATTGTTCCACAAAACCTATGTTTGGGTTATAAATCACTCCCTTCAACCTTCTTCTTTTCATATAGAGCAACTGTTTTGAATAGTGGACCAGAGCAATGTCGAAAGTGGAAATTAAGGTAGACCTGGAGCAAATTTAACATTATCTTTTTCACATATTACTATTGGGTTAGTTTGCTTTGTTCAGGACACCTAAGGCCCATCAAAAGGAACCACAAAATGAAGAGAGAAGAAGGAGTGTTGCGCAGAAAAAGAAGCCTGCTATAGTACAACAGCAGTCAAAGGAAGCAATGGGGAGCCGCCACGTCAGCTACAGCAGAGAAGGTGGAGGTGCTGCCTCTGCTACAGTACGAAAGCAAAGAAGCTGAGCAATGGGGAGCCGCCACGTCAGCTACAGCAGAAGGAGTGGAGGTGCCTCCCTGAATCCGATACTCCCACTCACAAAGGGAGCCAAAAGCAAGGGGGACCACTTCCATTTAAGGCCAAGCTGGCAAGAAGCAAAGCATGACCCTTGATGAAAGGAACAATGAAGATCAAATGAAGAACCCTATAAAAGGAACAAGCAGTCCTCATAAAAAGGGCGCCCATCCTAGGACTGGTGATATATTTTTTTGTTTTCATTTTTGTAAAAATGCTCACTAGGAGCTAACTTCCTCTAAGTAGGTGAGGGTTCCATAGAAGTAATCCCTTTTATCTTATGATAACTTTGTAAGGAACACATATTTTATGAATGAATTTTGAGTTGCTCTTTGGTTTAATTTATTGATTTTGTGAAACCCTTTGGGCTGGCAACCTCATCCCGGGACCACTCGGTTGATGAAGCACTGACAAGGGCGTGTGGAGCATTCTCAAAATCCTGGGGTAGTTTAGCCTGAAGAAAGGAGGGAGAAACACCTGGAATGGGGAGCACTGCCATGTGAATCCATGCTCTTTTGAGAAGGCAACATGGTTTCCTTGCATATAACTCCAAGTACTATGGAGTAACGTGGAGAGTAAGGCCTTACCCTCTGCTTACCTATAGCAAAACAAGGGAAGGAGCAAAATCCACTTGTAAAATATGCTACCAAGCAGGGTTAACCAAAGGGATGAAAACATGGAACCCGTAACACCTACTTGACTTTTTTTGAAATTAATCTTAACTCAAACTTCTGTCACAATCTTCCCTTCACGATAACTGAACTTTGTTTTACCAGCTGATGCTCTTACTTTCATTTCGTTGACTGCTCTTGAAGTTACTTAAATTGATGCATTTTTATTCGATGACTGTGCTAAGTCATTCACTGCTCTCATCTGGTTCAGAATGGTTAACATTGTTTAACTAGTTGCCCAGAGATTGCTCTTTGTGAAGCTTAGCTGAGAATAGTACTTTCTTTTATTGCTTCATTTTACAAATTAAGTTTCTTTTAGCGCTTCTTACTTCACAACTGCTCCCTGAGGACGATAAATCTGGGGCTACAATACCCTATATTGCTTGACACGTACGCTTGCGTATAGTTGAAGAGGGTTGCTCTAAGTCAGAGTAGATTGCTCCTGTTGGCAATCCTGATTATTACTCTGCACTCTTGCTCTCTGAAAAGATATTCCCGAGCAGCTCTCGGTTCGACCAAGCAATTGGCGCCGTTGCCGGGGATCATTTGGCAAGAAAGGGCGTTTTTAAGAAAGCACTTTTGTTGTTTAACTGCAGTCTTTTTGTTTTGATAGACTTCCTCCATTTGTATGAGCACAGAACCTACAGAACTTGGACTGGAAATAGCACTTTTTGATCCAGAACCCGAGAGAACCTTCAGAAATAGAAGAAGAGTTCAAAGGTTGAGAAACATTACAATGGAGGAGGTTTTAAACAATGATAACAATGGAAATCATAATCATGGGCCTGAACAAGGACCGCATGAAGAAAGAGGGCCATCATTGAATGATATGGCTGCTCCCTTCAGAAATGGTCCAGAACGAGGTTATGTTCCCCCTCCTCTGAATATCCCGAACTTTGAAATAAAACCTGCAATGTTCCAAATGATTATGAACGCTGGTCAGTTCCATGGACTACCCATGGAAGACCCTCACAGTCATTTGGACAATTTCACTGAGATAGTTGATAATTTCAAAGTTCATGGTATTTCGGAAGAAAACATGCGGATGCTGCTTTTTCCATTTTCCTTGGCTGGAAAAGCCAAAGAATGGAGGAGAACATTGCCCCCAAACTCCATCACCAGTTGGGAACAATTGGCGGAACAGTTTATTACCCGATTTTTCTCCCAAGCAAAACAAGCCCAAGTGAGGGCTGATATAGCTTCCTTTCAAATGTATGATGGAGAAAGTCTGTATGAAGCGTGGGAACGCTTTAAAGAGTTGATACGAATTTGCCCGAATCATGGAGTTTCTGATTGGGGCATCATTCACACGTTTTATCATGGCTTAACCCCACCATTGAAAGCAACTGTTGACGCAGCTACAGGGGGAGATCTTTTGGATTTTACTTATCTAGAAACCTAC